GAAAACCCAACAAAAATGGGGCACCTGGGTGTAGTGGAAACCATTATCTGCTGGAAATGGTAGTGCCTGAATCCACCTGTCCATCTAGCTACTTGAAACACTGCTGTAAACTTAGCCGCATGGTTCATGTATGTATCTTCTTTTTCTCACAGGGTCTGTTGGCCTGGTCTACCTGAGTGTTGTTTGTTTTCTAGAACCCTGGCTACTATGACATCCAGGCCCAGGACCTGGGCATCTGGCATGTGCCCAACAATAGCCCCATGGAGAATTGGAGGAACACCTCCCTGCTGAGATACCGCACGTTCGTTGGCTTCTTCCAGCATCTGGGACATAATCTGTTTGGCCTCTACCAGGTACACAGGGCTGCTGGCTGTGTTGATTTTCATGGGTCTAGAGAGTAGCAGGTATTTGAGTTCAAGAAGGAGCCTCCTTCCCCTGGTACTATCTTGCAGGTTTGCTATGCTATAATTTACTCAAAGCTTCTGTCCCAATTCTGTGAGGGATCCTGACCCAGGGAAAGCAAGTGACCCATGAGAGTGAACTGGGAGAAGAAAGACCAGGGATGGGGAGAACAAGAGAATTTGAGAGTGAGCTCAAAGGGGGCTGATACGTTGGAGAAACACAGCCAAAGGGAAAGATCCCCATGTTGTGTGCATTTGAAATAATGTCTGTTTTCAAGAACAGAATATTTCCCTTCTGTGCAGCATCCATGTGAGAGCCAACACTGTTGTCCTGACTCAGTGACTTCTTCATTTCCCATAGAAATATCCAGTGAAATATGGAGCAGGAAAGTGTTGGACTGACAATGGGCCTGCGATACCTGTGGTCTATGACTTTGGCGATGCTCAGAAGACGGCAGCCTATTACTCCCCAAATGGCCGCAGTGAGTCTTCAGTGCTCCTCTGAAATCTTTGTAGGAAAGGTGATAAATTCAGTTACAACAAGTAGCAGGTATCTATCACTTATGTAGCATGGTTCTTCCTACAAGTGTTCTATGTACAGTATTGTCTTGCTTAATTTGCACAGCAACCCTTGAGACCTGAACCAGTATTGATTCCCTAGTACAAATTAGGAAACAAGCAGGGAGAGGCTTAGGAATTTCTGTTATTTCAAAGGCCTATGTGGGTTAGTGAGAGAATTTGCACTGAAGAAATTTGCCTCTAGACTCTGCTCCCAACAACCCTATTACCAGCCCTTCAGTAAGTTGTTAGGAACAAGCCAGGCCCATGTGCACAAGGCAGAAGAACAATGCTGAGATAATTACACACACACACACACACACACACACATATATATATATGTTTTTTTTTTTTTTTTTTTGTACTGTGAATTGAAATCAGACCTGGCACTTGCCAGGCAGGTGCTTGTGCTGCTGAGCTAACAGTTATAATTCTATTTTGAGCAGTAATTATAACTTAGTTTAATGTGAATCTAAATTTGCAGAATATCCATCCTAGAGGCTGTGCCTATGCTATAAAATTCACAGCTGTTATTGTGTACATCTGGGCTTTGAGGTTTTAAAGTGAATGAAAATATGAAAGGCGCAAAGAGGATCAGTGTGAGCACACTTGCTAGTTGCTGTAATGTGCCCATAGTGATGTTAGTGGTGATTTTCTTGCATTGTTGAGTTTATCTCTCTACCAGCCACTGCCAGTGCAGAGGAACTTTGTGAGGACCAGTTCTTGGGCTCTGGGGTATGGCAAGGTCCCTCTTGGCTAGGCTTGGGCCTGGTGTAAACCATTTGCTGGGTACAGTGGTTTTGGCTCCACTGGTGCTGGTGAAGTGTTGGGCTGGAACCTGGATCTGGCATAGACAGTTTTTGACCTGGCCCATGGGAAGCTATTTCCACCATCTCCCTTGAATTTTGTTTTCTCCCTCTTGTTTCCAGATGAATTCACTGCAGGATATGTCCATTTCAGAGTATTTAATAATGAGAGAGCAGCGAATGCCTTGTGTGCTGGAATGAAGGTCACTGGGTGTAACACTGAATTTGTGAGTTTTTGTGGTCACCAAAGGGACCTTTGAACAATGTTGTTTGTCATTGTGTGTGTGTGTGTGTGTGTGTGTGTGTGTGTGTGTGCGTGTAGTGTGGTTTTCCCTTGTGTTTCCCTGGCTCTTGGGGACCAGAAGCATAGGACTCTCTGTCTAGGTACAGACATTCTGCCTTTCTGAAGAACAAAATGAAGGATGCCGCCTTGATATTTGTTCAGCTTTTGCCATAAAACACTCAGTTGCTTCGGGTTAGGGTGAGGCTTATGTTCAGGAACAGCCCATGATACATTTTGGAGCTAAGACTGACCAACACTCAGCCTTGTATTTCTCCACCTGAGGTTTAATTTTCAGAATAAAATTTGGTATTCTCACTCATGTCTGAGGCTCGGATAAATGCACACTGTGGAGTGACAATGAGGAGAGTCCCAATATCTTACAGTGGAACTCACCCAACATACTGTTGTCCTCCCACAAAAGACTTTGGCCTGTGGTCATCATGGGGACTGACTGTCAGTGCAGGTATGCTCAGCTGTCACCTACAGCAACCATGATGTCCCCCTAAGTGAGAGAAATTAGACACATGCAGGTACGTTTTCCACAGTCAATAAGGCATTGGCCAAGAGACAATTATAAGGGAGCACTTCAGCTGTCCAGGGTGAGCATGATCACTTGCGACCCAGCCGTTCACACACTAACAGTCTGCAAAAAGTGTCCTGAACTGCTGGCAGGTGACCCTGAAGACCTCCTTCTTCTTTTATTGCTCAGCCATCAGCTTGTCTCTTCCCAGTTAGGATGAGGCAACTTTGCTGTCAAGGAGGACCCTCCAGTCATAGTGGAGAATGATGACTGGGAGGCACTAAGGGACAGGTCTCTTTGTGACAACTTGTCTTCCATGGCACCTCTCAGCCATGGCCCAAAGCATGAATAATGCAGTGTGCATGGGCACCACCCACTCTTTAGAAAAGCTTGCATGGTCAACTACCGTGTACTGTACAGGCACACAGAGTCACATGTTCTTGTCTAGCAACTAGCAGAATAGTGACACAAAGATGGCATTACTATATAAAGACTGTGAAGTATAATAGATATATGAACAAGGGGCCTGGGAACGGAGCTGAGTGTTAGAATGATCACCTCATATGTGTGAAACTTTTGAGTTTGATGTCCACCAGTCCTGCTCAAACAAAACAGAAGCAACTAGAGGCTACAAAAGCATGTAACTGCGGTGGGTGTATCAGAGAAGTGGCTATAGAAAAGGTAACTTCAAAACTGATTCTTGAGAAATAGATATCCATAATGTCTTGATGCAGTTTAGGTTGAAAGAACAGTGTGTTCAAAGCCACTAGTGTTTTAGAAGGGATGTGATGTTGAGGGAGCTGCAGGGTGTTTTGCAGCCTTGGTGTACAGGGTGTAAAACCAAGAGCGTCCTACCATCTTTAAGGAAGAGGGAGATGTGTGTCCTGCTAGGCAGAAGCACTTAAGGTACTCATGAAGAGTCTCAGCAGGGACACTGAGAATGAATGTTCAGAAAGGTGGAAATAAAGTCAAGAGGAGACACGTTGGAAATAAAGCTGAAGTAAGAGAGGTTTTTATGGGTGTAGTAGATGAAATCTACCAATGGAAATTCTCAATGAGAAACAAAAACGTAGCCACTGAGATATGTTTAACTTTACCAGCTGATCTCTCATTACCCTTTCCTCCTTTCCTTCTTTTGTAGCACTGCATTGGTGGAGGAGGTTACTTCCCAGAGGGTAATCCCTCGCAATGTGGAGACTTCTCTGCTTTTAACTGGAATGGATATGGGACTCATACCGGATGGAGCAGTAGCCAGGAGATAACTGAGGCAGCTGTACTTTTGTTCTATCGCTGACACGGTCTTGCTAAGAGACCTGGCCTTGCTCTACCAACTACCACGTCCAAGTGATGGAGGCTGACTTACCTAGTGTCTAGAATGCCAGTGGCTGAGGAAAGGGAAATAAAGCATTTTTCCTGAAGCCTTGGTGTTTCTGTGAATTCTTTGCATGCATGGGTGGAGAACTATAGGAGTTTTCAAAAGAGTGCATATTGTGGAGTGATTCGATGTCAACCCCTTTCGTGCTTGGAATGTTAGAGTTTAGCAATTCCGATAGAGGAAGATGTTGCCCTACAAGATCCTCTCAGGTAGCCCCTTAAAATAGCCAGAGGAATAAAGGCAAGGGAGGAGGCATTTTATCTAATCTATTCCTATTCATCTATATGAACTGAACAATTAGAAACTGAATATTTTAAAGAAGATAATAGTAGTGCACCAAAGAAGAAAGGGATTACTCACATTCATATTTGGTCCATTCGTTGTTAGCTGTCTTGGTTACTGTTCTCTCATTGATGAGACAAAATAGCCAGTGGCTAAAATTAAGGGAGGAAAGGTATATTTAGCTCACAATTTGTGGTTTCAGTCTATACTCGGCTGGTGCCAAGGTAGAGTGGCAGATGGCAAATGGTGACAGTTCATGGCAGTGGAAAACAGCAAAAGCAACAAGAGCAAAAGGGAGGAGTGGGAAAAACAAGCCTCTTTTCCTCTTGTATATTGAATGTAGGCTGCCCACCCCAGGATTGGTGTAGCACTCACATCCATAATCCCAGCATGGGACCATGAATCAATCAAATCTCTAGAAGCTTGCCTCATGAGTTTACTGAGGCTTTGGGGTACATCTTGACACAAACCATAACAGTGGCTGTGGATATTTTCTTATGGAAACATGGGTTTAACAGGCATATGATGATGATGACTCTTTAGTATCTAACCCTGCTGGGCTTCCATCTTTAGAAGCTTATTCTTCCAAAGGAGCCAAGTGATTAAATCATCTTCATAGTGTTGTATTGGTACAGATACAATGGACAAAGACATTAATCCTGACCCCTGACTAAATATTAGGCATTTTGTTGAGTTTTCCTCTAGAACAAAAATATTACTTTTTAATTTATTCAGTACATAATGATTACATTTATCACGGGGAGTTGGTACATATACATAACACACAACTATTCCCCTTCTAGGTATTTTCTCAAAAGTCATAAAATCATCATAGTTCAATGGCATGTGCATACCCATGTATATAGCAGCACAATTCATAATAGCTAAATATTGGAAATAGCCTCCATGTCCATCAACAGATGAATGGTTAAGGAAATGTGTTTTTGCACACTGGAGTACTATTGTGCCATAAAGAAAGAGAAATCTGAGTCATTTGTATGTAATGAGATGCTTCTCAAGAGGTAGTGTTAAGCAAAGTAAATCAGATACATGAGCTTAACTATTACATGGCTTCACTTATATGAGAATCCCAAAGTATAAATAATTAAAGAACAAAATGAAGGATAGAATATAGAGAGATATTTTGCAAATAGGAAGGAGACCAAGAGATAGAGTGAGGTGTGAAGGAGTGGGAAGTTTGGATATTGGCTTAATAATATCCTTAGTTATTGCAGGCTGATCAGGTCCACAATCTCCCAAACAAGTGTATGGCAAAGGCTAAACAAACAGAGGCAAATGGAGTGATTTCAGGGCTCCAGGAAGATCAAAGCCCTTTCACAGAATTTGGGGTTCTCAGAGCTAAGATCAAGACCTTCTCTGGGTGGCCTATATTTATTTGTTTATCAGAAGATGGAAGGGGAGTATTCAAGAAAGGGGGGAATTACTCAAGGACTTCCCCAAATAAGGTATTAATTTAATCATTAATAAGGATTAAGTTAATCCACTCAGATGTGAGATGCCTGAGGCTATAGTCTTTATCTGGTTGAGATGGGTCCGGGTGTCCTTGGCTTTGATCTTGTCTTATCCTTTGAGGTTTTCTGGCTTCATCCCCCATTATAGGCCTTAGTAGGAATTAGTGACTCACACAAGTTCACTCACTATGAGTTCACTGTCCATTTCTGCAGAAGGAGCCTAGGCCTTTGACAGGTTCACAGGTGAACATGAAAAGCCAATTTGTTAATTTAAGTCCTGCTCGGGTTTGCTTCATAATGGTCTCCATCAGTTGGGTACAGAAAAAGAATTAACATGTGCTAATTCCCATTCTGTGGTTGTCTCTTCACTCAGTTGATTGTTTCCTTTTCTGTGTAAATGTTTTGAATTCAATATAACCCCATTGTTTATTCTTGATATCTTTTCTTGTCCAGTTGATGGTTGGTTCAGAAGGTCATTGCCTATGCCTATGTGTTTTCAAGTGTTTTACTTCTTGTATCATCCAGCAGATTATGTGTTTTTATTTTAATATTGTGCTGGCTTATATCTAGTTGTTTTCCCAAAATCTCATGCAGTCATAGGCTAAGTTTTTGGAGATGGCTGGATCTAGCATGTGTAATGCTGGAATTAAGGTTGTGGTGCTGGAGCTAAAGATGCTCCACTCTGGGTTTGGGATAAAATGAAGGCAGGGCTGCTGCTGCTTTCTGCTTTTGCTGCTGCCTACATTCCATGTCATGAACTGTTATATCTTCTCATTGACATGGCCCTGCCATGAAGCCAGCTGACTATGGACTGAAACAGCTACAAACTGTGGGCCAAATAAATTTTTCTTCCTTTACCTTGTAGGTGTCAGGTATTTTGTCTCAGCAATGAGAAAATAATTAAGACAAATTTTGGTATGAAGATGGGAGTTGTTGTGATTGTATCTGACCATGTGTTTCAGGAGTCTTTGGAACTGGATTGTGGGAGGAATTTGGCAAGATTTGCAGATGCTGGCTGAAGAAGCAGCCTAGGAATGGAAGGTGTACTTGATAGGAGATCCTGCTCTCAGCTCAGAAGACCAGAATGCAGAGATAACAGCAGTCAGCAAAGACCAGGCTTCAGTTAAGAACAAGGACTGCATTGGCCTTTAGACTCCAAATTATGAGTGTTAAGCTTTGGCAGAAAATCTGTGTGCATTTTGCTTATGTCCAAAGACTTTGCCTGTGCCTGAGATGAAGGCCATTGGACTAATTAACCTAGCAGAGGAAATTTCAAGGCAGTATAACATTGAGGTGATAGTATGGCTACTGTTAGAGGCTTTGAGCCAGATTTATGTTGAGAATTGAGAACAAAGAGCCCAGCAGAATGATTTCAAATGTTTTGAATGTGGCCAAAAAGGAAGACCTATAAAGTTGTAGCCTGCCAAAGATGGAACAGAGGAGAAATTAGTCACTGAAAAGATTAGTAATAAAAAGCTAAGTATTTTACTAGAGGAAATAGAAAAATGGCTGGAGGACATTACAAGCAGTGGCCAAACTGCAGTGTTTGCTGCCCCAAAATTGAAAAGGTAAAGAAAGATTTTGCTTTGGAAAGAGAGACAAGAACATTATGTTCTAGAAGGGAACTGGCCTGGGGAAATCGTTCTTGAGTATTGGGTTGACAGCACTCAGCAATCCAAACAGTCAAACCGTACAGTGAAAAAAGAAGCAAGCCTGCGGCCTTTGGGCCAGACCCCAGCCACACAGGCACCTGGGAGGTGGGCTGCCTGCACTCGGGAAGCTGTGTGGCGGGGAGCTCCCACCTTTGGGCCAGACCCCAGCCATGCAGGTGCCCAGGAGGTGGGCATCTGGGAAGCTGCGCAGTGACATGCGCTGGCACATGCTGGCCATCAAACCAGCCACCCCCACACGGTCGAGAACTATCATGGCACAGAGAAGCAATGACACAGTTGGCTTGCCACGTGCTGGCAACAGAGGCCTGCCCGCAGACCTGTGTGAATCATCCAGACATGGAGAAACCCCTGGGAGTACATGCCACACAATGGGTCACTCTTGCCCCTGCTGTTGAGAACCAGAAAGGTCCAGAGTCAGTGGATGTGCAGCTGCTGAACAAGGACTTGGAGAAC